AAAAAATGGTTACAAATGAATCATTCAAAATATTGCCCATCGCTAGCGACAACTTTTTCCCATCTTTCTGGCAGAGCTCGAATACCGTCACGGTAGAAGTGTTCGTCTTTTGAGGCTATCCACGAATCAAGCCATTTTGAGATGTCTTCATATGAGCGGAACTGCTGATTAGCCAGACCATGTGCCATCGAACGGAACAAGTAATAATCGAACGGCGCAATATCTGGGGAATATGGCGGGTGGGGTAGGACTTCCCATTTGAGCGTTTCTAAGTAGGTTTTAACGGGTTTGGCAACGTGAGGCCGAGCGTTGTCATGCTGTAGAATCACTTTTTCGTGCCTCTGCTCGTATTGTGGCCGCTTTTTGCGCAGTGCTCGGCTGAATCGCATCAATTGAGTTCGATACCGTTCCCCAGTGATGGTTTCGTTCGGTTTCAACAGCTCATAATAAATAACACCGCTCTGGTCCCACCAAATACACAGCAAAACCTTCACAGCGTGAATATTCGGCCGAGCCGACGACGTAGAAGCATGACCGGGCAGTCCCCATGATTTTGTTCTCTTTGGGTTGCTGTAATGAATCCATTTTTCATCACCCGTAACGATGCGATGAAGAAAACCCTTCCTTTTTTGCCACTGGAGCAGTTGTTCACAGGCGAAAAAACGACGCTCAACGTCTCTTGGCTCCAAATCATAAGGAACCCAAGTTCCTTGTTTTTTAATCATTCCCAACGCATGCAATCTCTTGGAAATGGCTTGGCGGGTAACTCCTAATGCTGAAGCAAGCTCTTTTTGCGTTTGGCACGGATCCTCATCGAGCAATGCCTCCAATTCAGCGTCTTCGAAAGTTTTTGGCCTTCCTTCACGCGAACGGTCGTCAACATCGAAATCACCGTCTTTAAAGCGACGGAACCAATCGCGGCACGTTGTTTCACTTAGAGCAGCATCTCCGTAAACTTTTTGGAGTTCTCGATACGCTTCAGCCGCCGTTTTCTTCGAATGAAAGAAGAAAAGCAACACTTCCCGCAAATGACGATTATTTGGCACAAAATAAGACATTTTCACACAACCAAAAGTATATGACGCAAAAACAAAATCACTAATGTGTCAAAGCGGTTTGTTTACCATATGTCTAAGCTTGGTTCATGACGTTTGGTTATATCACAATCGACCATCACTTACTACTGGAGCCATCTCTTGAAAAACAGCGGGAACTTAGTTGCGCACCTAATACTAATTTTTTCCTATTTTCCCACATGCCAGAGAGTGAAAATGCGTTGTCAGTTTTTGACACAGAGCGTTGTGACTACCGGAAATAATTACAATCTGCCTGAGTGTGGTGGTATGCATATCATATTCGTGGAGAACGAAAGTGTTCCGGGACGATATTGCTATTAAACTAACTTTTTTCTTTTCTCCCACATGCCAGAGAGTGAGAAAGCATTGTCAGTTTTTGGCACAGAGCACTGTGAGTGCCGGAAATAATTATAACCTGTATGAATGATTATATGTACGTAATTTTCGGGAATTACAACTTTCTTATAATGTCATGTCATATTTAACACAAATTTATCTTTTATATGCATTTACATTTATTTTTAAGTGGTTTTTTGTTAAATAAAAGCTATTTTCAATTTTCGCTCCAAGAACGCTCCAAACTTCAACGACGTGAATTTACAGCAAATTTTTTTCAGCTGTTCAAAAACAAGCTATTATTAATATTATTATTATTTCTTTTATTATTCAACGGATATTTTTTAAATCAAAGTCGAATTCAGCGATCTCGAAAACTCTTTATAAAAACATATTTTCTTATCTATATGAAGTCTTGATTTTTGTCAAGCTTCTGACTGGTTTCGGCCCACTGTACGCCGGTAGTATACGTGCACGTGGCACGGAACATGTTAAAAGACAATAATTTGAGGGAAAATTTGAGAGAGAATAATATATAATACTAGGAAAGTACAAAGGACTTGATAGGTTTTATGGTAGAAAAATGTAGACTAACAAGGGAGTTTTGAAAAATCAAAAATTTTGACAAATTTGAGATTTTACAGAAATGAAGTACATATGATCTGATCATACAGCTATTTGTACAGAAAATATTTTGCTATCTTTTATATTGTTGATAGTACATGCTCTGAAAGAAAAGTACCGATTTTTTTAAAGGCATATTTCGCCCCTTAAAAGACCAATTGGATATAAAAAAATTCATGTTCCTTATTTTGGTCTAAATTACAATATATTTCAAGCTCATCAAAATCGGAGGGAGACACTTCCTTGTATTTCCTTATGAGTCCTACCTGATTCTATTGTACTAGGCCTGACCAAAAGAATATTGTGCTGATAACAGGCTGAAGATTAATTTTACGTTTTGAAAGAAATTATTATTGACAATTGATTCATATATAAGTACAAGGAACTTGAGAAAATATTTTTATTATATTACTAATAACAAAAACTATTATAATTATTAGCATCCAAAGTAAAGAAATGGAGGATAAGAAAATTAAAAACAAGTGTCCATTCCAAAATGGGCAGCTGCGTCCTGGTTTACCAAGGACCGGAGAATCACATTCGTGTGACCCAAAAGTCTGTACAGCGCGGGCAGAGTGAGCTCGTCAGCCTATGTTGTAGCCGAACTAAAAATAAAAGTCCATGGTAGGATGATATCAAAAGACCAGGATTTATTATCCCAGAGATCTCGGAGCTACAGAAGTTGGCACGTTAGCGGATGTATCGTCCTAACTTTCCTCCTCCTGTATCGTTATCGAGAGTGAATTATCGGTGTATATGAATTTTTGGCCATGTATCAATCGATATTTTTCACTTCGAACTCCACCTCAGAACAGTTTCGACTTCTTAAAGTACATTTCAGCGGAGAATCCAAATTCACTATTTAATACTAAATAACATAAATACAAAAAATTCTGTCGTGAATGTCTGTTGTTACATAATATATTAGGTGTACAAATGAATAATCCAATTTTTCAGCTACATTCAAGGTTTATTTTAAAAGAAAGTAAATTAAATTGTTTAATCAAAGTATTCGCCGTTGCTTTCTATAACTTTAAGTCATCTTTCAGGCAGCTGATGAATTCCATCTCGGAAAAATGTTGTCTTTGGACACGATAAAGTCGTCAAGCCATTTTCGGATCTCATCCACTGATTGGAAATGCATATCGGACAAGGCGTGTTGCACTGACCGGAACAAGTGATAATCGGATGGAGCAATATCTGGTGAATACGCCGGCCGTGCTACAAGACGTCCCAGCCAAGACTCATTATGGTGTCTTTTGTATTGAAAGCAATGTGTGGCCAGGCGTTGTCATGCAATAATTTCACTGGACGTTCTCCTTTGCCAATATATGGGCGTTTTCGTTCCAATTCTTGACTCAAGTAGATTAATTGACGTTGGTAGCAGTCCGCAGTAACTGCCGGGTTTCACCTGGTTCCAATAACTCATAATAAAGCACGCCCTTGATATCCTACCAAATGCAGAGAAGAACTTTCTTTCCGAAGCGACTGGGTTTTGTGGCCGATTTTGATGATTTCCCGGGATTTACCCATGACTTTCTGCGTTTCGGATTGTCATAGAGTATCCATTTCTCATTGCCCGTAACGATTTTCCACAAGAAAGACTTTCGACGCTGCTTATTAAGAAGAGAAAGACACGCTGCTACTCGTTAATTTTTGTTGGTTTCAGTGAGTTCATGCGGCACCTATTTTTCTTCTTTCTGGATCTTTCCCATCTCATGTAGGCGTTTGGAAATCGTTTGCTGCGTTACTCCCAACTGTTTTGCAAGCTCCTTTTGTGTTTGTGCCGAATTCTCAGCGAGCAGTTCCAAATCATCCTTATCGCACTTCGGAGGGCCTCCAGGGCGTTGTTTGTCGATTAGACTGAAATTACCGCTTTTAAACCGCTTAAACCAAAATGCGCACACATCGTACGACACAACACCTTCGCCGAGAAAGGAACAAATTGATTCGCACGCTCTTGCAGCATTTTTTCATTGTTGGAATTCATAAAGAATGCAGTGTCGGATATGCACCTTATCTGTTGCCATTTTCGACTGTACTGAACTGAATACTTTTGAAGGTTATGTTGAGCCTTTCGCCAAACTATATGTTCTTTTTAATAGCTATATGTCAACATTGCATAATCACAAAAGAGCGGGAAAATCTATTCAATTTAAAATTGATTTCATAACTGCTTAAAATAATTTGGATTATTCATTTGTACACTTAATATTATGTAAAGGAGAAAATTGGAACGGAATTAAATTTTAAGTATATAAGTATGAAGTAATAGAATAATGAAGAAGAATAAAAATCAAAAATAAACATATGTTAAATATAACTATATTTTTGTTATAATACTATATAATTAATGATAAATATGTTTATGTTTCTTGTTCATGTTTTTATTATTTGTTTTCAAATATCATTTGAATAGTGTCATTAATAATGTCGTTATTCATGTTAGAAAACCAAACAATCTAACACTTACATCATCAAATTTTTAGAAAGTTACAACTGGACGTCATTAAAAAGTACATTAATGAATTGAATTAGATCCACGTCGAAATTCAAAGTTTTTATTTATTGAGACATGTTTCAAATAAAGAATGTGTTTGAAATTTAATGTACTTATTATGTGAAACATGTAAATAAATATTTGATTGAAAACCATTAATACTCCGTGAAACCATTAATACCGTGAAAACTGTGAACACATATTATATTAAAACATCGCCTTTTTCACCGTATTGAAAAAAAATTTCGAATGTAATTGATTTCCCCACATTAGTCCTTTGCGCTCCATGTTTTAATTAGTTTGCTTTTATATATTTTGTAATAGTAATACATATTGTAATAATATACATAATATTGTAATATTATACATTCACCAATTTACTTAAAAATAACAACAAATTATTATTCTTAATTATATTAATAAAATAATTCCTATTTTCCACTGCGTACACGTTTTTACATTATTGTGCCGTTAATTCCTCTTTTCAATTCTGACTTTTAAAGGCTTACGGGATGCTAACATCGTTTCTATCTTCAACTCTATTTCATTTATTTCCATCCTTTTGTCCACTTTTAATATGAATGTACGTAATAAAGTTGAAATGAGCACTTTCATAGACATCATTCCATACCTTGAGCCTGTAATTTTATCCATTAAACGTATGTTCCGCCACAGCAGCTTTCAAATCATTTATATCTACCTATACAGTTTCTTGGACCATTACTAAAAGGTATGTAACAATAAGGATGAATATTCTCCATGTTCTCCGGGAGAAATCGATCTGGATCGAACGTCAATGCATTTAGCCAATACTTTTCATTTCGATGCATATGTATTATTCCTATGATAACTTCAGCGCCTTCCGGCAAAATATATTCTCCTGCAACATTGTTTTTATAAAAATAAATGTTATTGTAATGAAATATTCAATAGTTAACTTAAAGAAATATATATTTCATTGTGCAGTGCAATATCGTCATTGGACATCCAAACACATACAATTGTATACAATGTATAGGTAAACACATAATATTTCACTACAGCAGTTACTACACTTATAAGCACTACTATATTTATAAGCAAACCTATTTGTAAATTTTCATCAAGTCGTCGTCCTATAATAGGCACAACAGGAAAGAGTCTCAGTGTTTCCTTGATAACGCGTTCCAAGTAATTCATATGCTGTAAATCTTCGAACTTGACAGGCACGGTTTTTGGATCTTGCGTGCCATAAATTTCTACTAATTCCTCGTATACCTTTTCCTTTTAAAAATTAGTTATAAATAAAAAACTAAATTTATTTATAAGTCAAAATTAGTATACCGGCGTCAGAAAGTGCGCAGAATTTGCTAACAGACTCTGACAGCATCGTTTTGCATTTGCAATAGAAATGCAGCGCAGTCTATTGTTTTATAGTCAACTATAGTTGTTTAATTAAATCGAGTAGTAATTTTTAATATACAGGGGTGGTCCCGTTTAACCTGACAAATCGTAATATCTGGGAAAACTACATGTCGGATCAAAAAAAGTGCGTAATGAAATTTGTTCGCCTCGAAGGGGACATCCAATATATCAAACTCGACTCCCATCCCACTCCCGAGGGGTGGGGTGGGGGGCATCTTTTTGAAATCTAAACGGGAAACCTCCATTTTTTATGCAGATTCGGATTCTACGCCACAAAAAAAATACGGTAAGTTTCGTTCTCCGAAACTTTTTTTATTCTTGATAGATGGGCGCTGTTATCGCAAAAAATTAGATTTTCTGCAATTCTCCACCCCGAAGGGAACAAAAAGCTACTACGTCCTCGTCGTTGTTCCTGTTAACGCTAAAAGTAGTTTTCTCGAAAAA